AAAAGCTTGTGATACTGGTCTTTAGTGAAAGATAAAAGCAATTCATTTGGACTACTACACCGTATGTTGAATCTGATAGGGGATCAATCACCTCAGTTTCTAGTTCAACCATTTGAGTGCTAGTTTGATTTATACTAGACATATTTAGAGACTTGGGCTTATAGTTTTGGTGGATAACCATGCTTTTTTAAATATTTACTATGTGATCAATAAATACACAATATTTGTAGGTTAGTCTCTTACTGTTGTTAACTCCACTAGTTTCATAATTAAATTTCTTATTTCCTCTTGAATTGTTGCTAACACTTGATTGAGAAAATTGACCTCTATCTTAATGAAATCAAAATGACATATAGAGACTTATGTACTAAGACTTATTTCATGTTGTAATGCAAGTGAAAACACCTTATTCAATGAAGATAATTGCTTCAGAAGTAGGATTTATGACTGCACAACACTGAAAGACTCATTTAATCCTTTCATAAATCTAATTATTTAATCAACCTCTTCATATTTTCTAGTTGTCATTGTTACATTACATGCATACTGCATTTTACATTCATAAAAAGACATTAGCCTCAAATTTAATAGTTCATTCCACAATATCTTTAACTGTGTGAAATATTCTGTAACAGAATATGATCTTTATTTCATCAAATAAATCTCCTATTGGAGATCAAGTATTATGACAATATCATTCTATAAAAATATATCATTAAGATCTTTCCATAAATCTCTCTCATAACCTATCTATATTACACTTTGAGTGATAGATGGAGAGAGTGACCTCATATTCCACGAAACTATTATCATATTGCATCATTCCCATGCTTCGTACATAGGATCATCTTTATGTAGAAGGTATAAAACCATCCATAACTTTCAACTTATTTTTTGAGATTAAGACTATCTTCATCGACCTTGACCAATAATAAAAATTGTTACTTGTACATATGGTTAAAGCAATCTAGAGTGAAGGACTCTTATTTGGATGAAGAGAAAATGGACGTGCCAAAACTTTCTCAATAGCAAAAACAATATCCATGACTATTGTTATGAAATCTTGAAGTTGCAATGAAAAATCAAAAGATGACAACCCTGGGCTTTTTGACCTGAACTAAAATCAAAACTCAATCAGAAAATTTTTTGAGCTTTGATACCATAAGAAAATACAGCATGCATTTATAAGTGTTAATAATGTTAAATTAAAGAGAAATTGATAAAGATTTAGAGTGAATTAAAGAGACAACTTGAGAAACAAAAAAAAAAAAAAAAAAAGAGGAAAGAGAGAAAGTATGTCAGAGCATTTGAGAAAATTGAAGGAATTAATTTTTGTTCATTAAAATAAAGGCACTTGTATAGAGAAAAAATGGGTAATTATAAAACAACCCTGCAATTTTAACAAAACAATACAAAAATCCTTCTATTAACAGCGAATTATAAAATAATTAATCCAAATAGTTATAAGGTATAGGGAACTAAAAAATAAATTGTTTGCTAAAAACTTATATAATTAACTAACAATTTAAAAATATTTTTCTTTCATATAATATTTTTTATTTATTTTTATAAAAATATATTTTTAGATTTGTATATATTATGAGTAACATTATTTTAATTCATATATTATAAAATTCTATATACATTAATAATGACAATACAAATAAAAGTGATTACCTTAACATTATTTATATTCAATAAATATAAGTTTTATTTTTTATTAGATATATTTTTATATAATATATTTCTAAAATATGCACATAAAACAGAATAAATTAATATAATTGTATTGATTATGTATTTCAATAAAAAAAAAACTAAATATTGATATTAATGACGTGGGGACGTGGGATCGCAATCGGAGATGGCGATTTTCACCATTGTTTTTTTTCTTTCTACTGTGGGCTGTCTTCTTTTTACAACCTTTTTATTTTCTCCCTACTGTAATTCTTTTCTAAACTTTTTACCGTCCTAGTAAAAGAGGGGCACGGCCATCCAGTTTTATTTTCTTCTGGAAAATGTTACACGTAGCATAAGATATATTTATTGTAATATAAATGTCCATTTCAATAAAAAAAAAATTTAAGTGCAATCTAATATATAAATAGTTTTATTTACAGAAATACATAAAAGTTATATGTTTATAAAATAAATAAAACCAAATTAAAATCATTTATTAGAAAATACGTAAATAATATTTGAAAAATGTTATATCATTAACAAATTTTTTAGATTCTTCAAATAAACTGAACAAAAATTTACAATTTAAAAATTAAAAATATTACACAGTGAGTTAATAAGATAGTGCGAGAAAGCACACAGTAATCTGGTAAGTTCATTTTTGCAACTATTTATTTACTATAGCGGTAAAACTGTTCTTGGAGGGAAATTAAAATTTTTACCGTTAAATTGAAACAGAGAATATATTTTATTTCCAACTGAATTATTTTTTTTGTTTTATGCAGGACAGGTCCAAAGTAAGGTTCGGGCCATGATCAGCCCAATTTCATATCTGGACTATGCCGAAAAGAGTAGGTTTGACTCGCTCCTTCCTGCCTGTTTTACAGATACAACCAGGAAATTGAATATATATATATATATATAATGAATATATTTGAGTTTAGCTACAAAAAATATTGATTAAATTTACATGATATTTAATTTATTTTAAATATTTTAAGAAAATTATAAAAAATAAATTCAACGAATATAAAATTCTTTTAAAAATCTGATAATTTTTTTTCAAATAATTTACATTTCATATTGGAAATTATGGATTTAAAAATAATGACTTGATTTATATTTGCGGGTATAATTTTAATTAACAGGGAATCAAATATTTTAATTTTAATTAATTACTTATACTATCAATTATAAAATTTATTATTAATTAAATTATTTGTAATAATTACATAATTAAATAATTACTTAATTAATTCGTGTAAAAAGCAAAGTTGAGAAGATATTTGGAGGTCCTAACCGATGGACAAAATCAAGTACAACCTATCCTATCGTACACCATAAATTTCCTATCCAACTGCCACGTCGGCACTCTATCTAGATCATACACAACAACGAGTGGTTCTCTTTCTGCAAAATTCTCCCCCCCCCTCCTCTTCTTCCCTTCCAAGTCCCAAATTATCAGATCTCCCCTTACACCAAATTCCCTCGCAACAAAATCCTCCTGTAGAGGTTGAAAGCAGCCATGGCTTCCTCTGCACTCTCAATCTCCTCTTCTTCAACTCTCGTCGATGCCAAGTCTCCTCGCCAATCCTCTGCTGCATCGCCTCCTCAATGTGTAACTCTCCCTACACTCCCTCCCCCACCCGCAGCTCAGTCTCAGGGCCGAACCTTCAAAACCACGGCTTACTGTCAGTTTTCCATCTAATACACATAACATTTGGTTGATTAATGCGCGTATCGGTTGAATTTAACCGTGCTAAAAAGATCATGCGTATTTTTTTTTTTTTTTTTTTCATCAGGTCGTAGGATTGCTCGCAATGTAATGGCAATGGCGACGGGAGAGGCTCCAGCGGAAGTCGCCGCAACAACTGAGCTGCCAGAGTTTGTTAAGACGATTCAAGAAGCCGTAAGATCAGATTCTTGTTAGTTTGAGTTTTTTGTGTTTTGATTTGGTGAGTAATTGATTTGTTGGTGTCCAGTGGGAGAAGGTAGAGGACAAGTACGCAGTGGCTTCGCTTGGAGTAGCTGGTGTAGTGGCACTTTGGGGATCCACAGGGATGATCTCGGTGAGTAATTAATCTTCTCTGTAATAATTATCAAATTATATGTTTTCCAATTTCGAATTAGTAGAATAAATCTTTAGTATATGTAATTACAGGCAATTGATAGGCTTCCTTTAATTCCTGGAGTTCTTGAAGTTGTGGGCATTGGATATTCTGGGGTAAATTCAATTTTACTAAATCCACCGACTAATATCAAAAACAAATTCTTAAAAAAAAAAAAAAAATTGATTGAAATTCGTCTAATGAATCCACATTGTTACCTTTCTGTGCAGTGGTTTGCATACAAGAACCTCATCTTCAAACCAGACAGGTGAATGTGAATCCCATTTTCTTTAGAAAATTAAACTAAAACCATATTTTAGGGAAGCTTAAAGAAATATCTCCATTGTAGGGAAGCTTTGATAGAGAAGATAAAAAGCACGTACAAAGAGATAATCGGGAGCAGCAGCTAAAATCTAAGAGGAGGATTGCTGTTGAGATTAAAAAAGAGAAAGGTAAAGTGAATGCCTTAAAGCATTTTTCTTGTACTTCATTTTTCTAGCACAAATTCCTAACCAGAGCAAGCTTCCCCCATGTAATTCCACTAGTTATCCTCTTTTTTTACAAGCCTTCGTGTAATTAAATAATTTACTTCCCCTCTTTTCTTTGTTCCTTTTCTCCACCTGCTTAAATTGCTCTTAGTCACTTGTTATTTGAACATGCGTAAGACAACTAAAATTCCCAAACAAAAAGTATTTATATCTATAAATTATCAAGTAATTTTTCTCTCATGGCTGTTCAATACTAATTGAAACATATGAAGGAAAAACATGATCAACTATGAAAAACCCGTAGTATTCCTACAAATTTGATTAGTAAAATTTTTCAGTGAATTTGATGTATGTTCTTTCTCTTTTCTGTTTATAGAGGTATTGACATACTAAAAACATAATGATAATTAAAATATTTAATCAATCCTTGTAATCAATGATATTTGAATTTTTACATTATTTATTTTGATAGAAAAACATGTAATGGAATTTATGATTATTGTTGTAGACATTATATATGATATTTTTATTTAATGTATACTGTAATTAATACTATTCTAATTTATATATGACTGAATGCTATGCATAACAACATAAATATTTTCTGGTATAATTTATTTCAGAAATTCAAAACCAAAATATTTGTATTAATTATATATTTAGACAAACATAAAGAAACACATACATAGTGTGTATTGGAAAATTAGTTGTAATTAAATTACTGCCGCATCATGTTTAAACATTTAAATTTAATTCATAATAAGTGAAGCTGTGAGTGTTATATTGGACATAACTCCTCTTTTTTTTTTTTTTTTTTTTTTTTTCTGAGAAGTAATTAAACCTTCACAATAAGTCAATTGCCCAAACTAAGCCTGTATAGAGCAGATAAGTATATCCACGTTGATGCATATATACAATACGAGCAAATGGATAACATCTAGCTGCTTGAAATAACTAAATAGGTCCTTGACAGTACAAACATATAATAGAGTAGGGACAAATGCTTAGCACTTGGCGCCCCGACGTGTGCAATCTAGTTACCATAAAAAAGTCATCAATACACAGTAAAGTAAAAACTTGGCTTGTCGAGACTAGCCTTGGTTGATACACCTCGGTAATGGCGCGCAAACAAATTCATGCCTCAGAAATATTTAGTCATATAAGAATACACATAGTATGACCCTGCAAGATGTCATGAAAGAGGTCGATGAACTACCTAACATGCTCCCACATGGCTATAAATACAATTACATCATAAAAATCATAACTTATGGTGTAACAAAACAATAGCCAGAAAATATATAATCCATAATAAACTCATAGAACCCAAAGACAAAACAAAATAAGCTAGAGAGAAACAAAAATTCAGTCATTTCTAGTTCGTATATAACGAAAATTTGGGTACTATACACATAGAACTATGCTGCCTAAATCCTAAAGATGATATAATTTGATATTTCTATCTACTCTTGGTTCACTGCATTACCGTTTCTTCCATACTACAAACTCGATTGGCAGTAAAATCACGGTACAAGAGATTAAAGATAATAAAACCCATGATGAAGGTAGGTTGCGCCATGCACAACATGTAAGTCTTCATGCACGGTGATGATGTGGATCAGATACAAGAAAATCATGCTTTCTACCATACCATACCCTCGGAGAATGTTGAATAAATAATTCAGAATTATGAAAATTATAAATTGTTGCTTTCGATTAAAATAAATTAGCAGTTATGAAAAAATTAAAACAAAATAATAAAATAATAAAATAATAAATATTAAAATTTAAATAGTGATTAAATAAAATAAATGAGCAGTTATATGTTGCCTATATATAGGTTATATGTTGTTGTGTAATAGTATCTCATTCTAATTGAATAAAAGTTTTATATTTTTCTCTCTAGTTATCTTCAATTTTATAATTTTTTTATCAGCAACAACCTCTTATCTTTAGTTTATTTTCAACAACTAGTATTATAGTCAGGTTCGAGTATGAGCGTTGCTACTATCGTAAGGGTTGTGGAATAAAATTGAGAATGATTATTCTCAATTTGTTATTGGGAAATAACTAACACCAACAGAGATAAAGATATTGGAGGAAGGTCAAATGAAGGGTGCCAGAGTCTTGTTTCTCATACAATAGGATGTTGCAGAGAGTTTGTTCTCTTGGATTATTGGTGCAACTAGATCGAAAGAAGCGTGGGATATATTGTAAGAAGAGTTTTAGGGATCCGCAAAAGTGATTGTCGTAAAGTTACAGAACTTGCGCAAATAATTTCAAAATTTACAAGTGAAAGAGTCATAAAAAATAGAGGAGTATTTTTCGAAAATGATCGAAATCGTGAACCAAATGCGGAATTATGGTAAAAATATTACTGATCAAAATGTAGTGGAAAATTTTTTAATTAGTTTGCCTGAATAAAAGTTTAAATTTAATCAAGAACTTTATCATATAAATTAAATAATAAGATAATAAATATGATAATAAAAATATCATTATCACATATTAAAATAAATTATCAAACAAAAATGTATTCAATATATGACACGAATAATTAGATCTTGTGCATAACAATTATATTCTTAACAGTGATTGTAATTGTGGTGTATAAATAATGTGGTTTAGTGCTTTAGTGTCTACGATCTAAAGAACATTTATGCTTTTATCTAATTTCAATAAGCGTTACTTAAAGTAAAAACACATACCAGAGAACCATTACTGGGCTTTGTTCCTTTGATGATTCAAAGGATGATTGTGTCATGTTCATTAAGGATTGGTTCTATTAAATGAAGGTCAATAATTGATTGTAATGTTCCTTGGTCAAGAAATGTTGCTCTTTAATGTTAGACTGACCATGTGATTCACAGGAGGAGCCTTGATTAATATTTATTTGTTTTTTTGGCCTTGGGGCTTTTATGCCTTTGATTGCCCACGAACCCTATAGCATGTCTTAATAGTGTGTCCTAAAATGTGGTAGTTAGAGCAAATACTTTGATGTGAGCATATATATGGCTTGAACAATTTCAACAACCATTCAAGTCAAGGAAGCTAAGGAGACCACGAGTTAGATTATCAAAAGGTAGTTACAACAGTTCATATGCACTCTAAGAGAGAGTTACATGACAAGGCCTATACAAGTGGCGACTTTGAGCTTATACTCTTTATAAGTCATGACATGGGTTGTTCAATGGTAGATCAAAGTATTTTGAGCCATAAACAGTACCCACATAAAGGAAAGCAAAGCAAAGCTTGAAAGCCTCATTTGATGGACTTGAACTATATGAGAAAAGTATCACAATAATAAATGGACTAAGCATATGAATATGGGCCAAGAGACTTAAGGAAGACTTCCTTAATCATATCAAGAGACGGACTGATAAGACATAAGGGCTTGGACCAAGTATGTAAGCCCACAAGGGAAGAAGAATAAGCCCATTTAGTCAAGGGCAAAGCGTCATGCATCCTCATTCTAAATGAAGAAAATAGCCAAGATAAATTTTTGGAAAATCTCTAAATCTATGAGGGATTTTTTTCCCTAAGTAAGAAATATTTATTTCCTTCTTTTTCTACCTCAAATAAGTAATTAAAGTATCCTATAATCCAAGAGAATTCTATTATATCTTCCCAAAAAATATATATTAAAAATTTTAAAAAATCATGGATAAATTCACAAGATCATGGACGGATCCATATGATCATGGACGAATTCAATCCCTAAGGAATTAAGATGGAGAATAGATATCCTCTACCATCTTAATCATATATTGCGTGAGTAATTAACTAGATATAACATTTATAAAAATGTCTGCAAGCTATTGCTTGTTATTTACATGTCTAGTCACTATATTTCTAACCTAAACCTTTTCTTTAATCAAATGGCAGTATAATTCGATGTGTTTTATTTGCTCGTGGAATACAGGATTAATAACTATGTATATGGCAATTTAGTTGCCAAAAGGTAATGCAGTTACCTTTGGATGCTTGATCCACAAACTATTTAAAAACATATGATTCAAACTAACTCACAATAAATGTTGAATATACCCTTACTTTACCTTTATTGATGGTCTAGAAAATGTATATTGCTTCTTAAACTTAAAAGATACAAGTGAACTTCTAAGTAAAACAAAATAACCGGTTACAGACCTTCTTATGTTAAAATCTTACCTAATCATTTTCAATATAAGCATTTAATTTTAAATCAAACATGCTTAAATAAAACAAACCATGTCCTATAGTTTCTTTGATATATCTGAACACCTAAACTACATTTAACTGATGTTTTTTGGGACTCTCCATGAATTGACTTAAGACTTGAGCTGAATAGGCCAGGTCTGGTCTATTGAGAGTTAGATGCATAAGATTCCCAATCACCCTCCTGTACATTGTTGGATCCTTAATTGGCTCTCTTGCGTCTTTAAATAGCTTGCTATGTTGTTCAAGTGGTAGTGCTTAGACTCTGCCACCAAAGACATTTATATCATTCAAATGTCTAATGCGTACTTCTTTTAGTATATGTTTTTATTCCATTTTGGGACCTAGCTACTTCTATTCCAAGAAAGTATTTTAAGGTCCCAAAGTCTTTAATTTTATCTAGCTTTATTTTTAATTCATTTATCAAACTATCATCATAACCAACAACTATTATATCACCTACATACAGAAGTAGAGATATAAAACTCTTACCTTCTCTTTTCACAAAGAGATTGTAGTTAGCTTTGGATTATTGAATCATTACATGATGATGAATTATGAGAATTTAATATACCACTATCTGGACATTTACTTGAGTTCATACAGACTTTTCTATAATTTGCGTACTTTTTTTTCTCATCTTCTCGAGTGTCCTAGTGACATTTGCATGTATACTTCTTCATTCATATCTCCATATAGGAAATGTTATTTCTATCAAATCATTTGAGATGCCAACGCTTTATTACTGCTAAAGCTAGCAGCAATCTAACTGAAACTATCTTTACCACTAGTGAAAAGGTCTCATGGTAGTCTAGACCCTCTTTCTGAGTATAACCTTTTATCACTAGTCTTACCTTGTACCTTTTAGTAGACTCATTTGTTTTAAATTTCATCTTGTAGACCCACTTATGTCCAACTGCTTTTTTTTTAACTGGCAAATTTATAATCTTCGTGTTTTATTTTCTTCAATTACTATGAGATTTTATAGTGGATTTCTCCAATCAGCACTTTTGTTTGCTTCTTCCAAAGAGTCTGGTTCCATTTAGGATGCCACATCCATTATATATTTTTTATGTCCCCTTTCAATCTTGCCATGCCCAATAGTGATTGATAGGGGAATGCATCCATTTATTTATGTCTTTTCACTTCGCTTCTGAATTGTTGCCCCAATTCCTTATTTGTTCATGTATATAGTCATTCAAATATGTTGGGGGTCCTTTTTACTTTATTGGACTTCTTTCTTGAAGGAGTTCCATTAGTCTCAATTCTTTCATGTGTAAAGGTTTGCTATGCTTTTTGTTGGTCTATATCTGGGTACTCATCTTAAGCTACCCTTTTTATTGAGTTGATAGGTTATTGTAAAAAAATAAATAAATAAAGCATAACAAAAGCTAAACAATAACAAAACCAATAAAATTAAATCCATGTGATCTAAACCCTTTCAATAAAATCTAAAATAAGCAAGATGAAGAGACAGATGTCTTTAATCCTAATTTCTAAAAGACCAGCTAGAGAGGTCATAAAAAGCTAATAATGTGAAATACTAATATTGCTAAAGTCGATATAAAAAAGAATCAATAAGATCTTCTTTATCCCACCCCATTCAAGATAAAAGACCACTATTGAGTTTCTTTCTCATTTAATATGTGAAAACTCCACAAAATTCGTCTTTTCAATCTTATTTAAGATAGAATTTGTTGTGTGATTCATCATCTATGCTATTTCAATCAGTAGAAACCCAAGTAATGACCACCTCAAAATCACCCTCCATCACAAAATTTTTGTTTATCACCTCCTCTGTTGAGATTGTAATTTTAGTTGCCTCATTCTTTGCCAGTAATTCGACTTGATTATAATCTATAATGCCAATGCCCTTGGCAAAGATGCATCTAAAACCACCTTTCTCATCCCTCATCACCTATTCCATTGCCATTGGACCTCGCTTGCCATATATTGAGACATCTATATTTAATTCTTTATACCAATTGGTGGTAGCATTGAGTGGATAGTTTAATAACCTTCCAAGCATCCTCTAAAAACTTACTTTTTCAATTGACATAATCATTTTGTTTATAAAGTATCTCCATCTTGCTTCTATAAAGTTCTTATGCACCATACAAGTTTAATACAAATCAAAACACATCGTTTTAACTGATAAATTTGAGTAACTCAATATTTTACCCTATCTGACACAAAATTTAACAGTAAATACAATAATAATCAAGCTAACTCTATATTAGCTTAAGATACCATTTTTTTTTGAATTTTGTATTTCATAACCTTTTAACATCAACAAGGCACCCAAACCTTATTATTGAAATCTCAAAATGAAATCTTACTTGGCAGTATACTAAAAAAAATTAATGGAACTAGGGAAAAAGATAAAGTAGTATGGTTAGTTGCTTTTCAAGATTTTTAACAAGAAATACCCTAATCACATTAATTTAACTATTGATGTAACTTTTGTTAATTAATAAAAAAATATTTTAAAAAATTCCAAGAACAATATCAGAATGATTTCAAATAATCACATCATAATAAGAATTAAAACATTGATAACCACTCTTATCCATTTCAATATATTCTTTGATGTCTAGACACTAATAGTGTGACAAGTTAAAGTATTTCATCAACATTAAAAACAATTTTACTTAAAGAACTCCATAACCCATAAATTAGAAATAACAGATGTTGTAAAAGGCCCGAGACCTTAAAAGAAATAAATTTATAATTTAAATATGAAAACGAATAATAATGTTAGGGTTTACATTCCTTACACAGTAAATAAAAATGCCTAATAGGACTACATGAACGCCACTACTATAGTGACTCGTTAAAAGAAGCAAATAAATGATTTAAAGCAATAGATAAATATTCTAGGGATTAACCTCCACTAGCTCTTGAAGGAGTTTGGGAGGTAAACTATTTACAACCTTCTTACTGATCAGGATCTAGATCCTGTTCCTCTTGATATAAAATAGTTAAGAAAAGGGTGAGCTACACTAGCCCAGTAAGAATATTACGATAATTACTGATACAAAAAACAAAGGTTAATAAAAATAAAAAAAAACAAGTAATATAGACCTTAATTTAAGTAAATTCATTTATCATGAAGAAAATTGTTTATTCCATATTTACCGTTACGAGTTTTCTAAAAATCAACCTACGAAAATCAATATCCATATAACTTTTTAATTTTATGCACAAGTGAACAAAAAAGGACAATTTTCCTTTTTTACCTGCTTACTGGTACCCTTGGAGGTCTATAGGGATGTCTCCCTATGCGTGAACTAAATATTCATATTTATCAATTAACCGGCGGTCTCCATATCTCGTCCGGTAATGGGTGGTAAACATATCATTGCCTTGATACTCCGTTCGGTATGAGGGCGAACCATATCTCCCAAACTCTTTCAATATGGGATTTCCAAGCCCGTCTTATTGAGGCAATACTTACGGTAAAGTTCTCTATGTACCAGACCTGTAAGTCTTTTTTCAGGATACCCAATAAATCTTTCATGTAAAGATCTCCATCAATAAAACAAACACCAAGTGCATACCAACCTCTTATGTCATATTCACATATTAATTAAACGGTCTTTATGCAAATAACATAACTTTATACCTTAATAACTGAGAAACGTACTCAGGGACTTTATTTTCAATTCAGTTAATCATATAAGAATTACAATCAGGAAATCAATAACACACAAGTAATTAAATGTGATAATTTAAATCATACAGCTGAATAACAAGCAATTTAAGTAGTATAGAAAAATAAATAGGCAACATAGACGAGCTTAAGGTGAACATACATTAACCAGTTTTTCAGCTCCACTACTGACCTGTAATTATTGTTAGAGTTTTTCTAGTTTTTACAAGAACACACAATTATTAATTATTAAGCCTCCATTTACCATAATAGGAAATATAGTGAGTGATCCTCACTCAAATCTGTGTTTTAAAATGCTGAACTGTTCATTACGTCTCCCAACGGGTCCCGAGTTTCTTGAATTTTTCATGCGGAAACCTAAAATACTCGTCAACCATCTAAAAATACCTAAAAAAATCTAAAATCGATGTTAAAATCATTTTTGACCAATTTTAGGATTCCGGCACAGTAGTGTCGCGTGCTCTGGTGCTAACTCCACTGCCCACGACAGCAATTCACCTTGGTCTGGCTGATTTTGGCCAGTTTTACACGTATCCTTGCGAAAAAACATATTAGGGGACCTTGGTTGGCAAGAAAAATAAAAAAATCGAAGGGGAGGATCTCCGGGTCCGGTGGCTCCACCAGTTCTCCTTCGCAGTTGAGAATTTTTATTCGGCTAACCTGCATGAAAAGGAACAACGAACACAATGGTCAAAGAATCGTGTGAAATAAAAAATAAAAAAGGGCTCATCGGAGGGGGTTTAGGATTTCGGCTGCGTCAGCTTCGCCGGGCTTAATTTTCGGCTTAACTGCCGTCTCTTATGCTCTGATATGGGCACAGGGAGGCTCGGAATTGAATTTCGAGTGGGCTGAAATTTTTTTTACCTTTTTTGGCGATAGGCAGTGGCTCTAGTGCGGCGGTGGTCGGCAGCCGGCCTTCTTTTCCGGCGGCTAGTCCTTCTTCTCCGACGAGGGCAGGGCGACTAAGGTTAAGGTTCCTCTGCAATGCAATATTTTTATACTCATCCCGTGTCGATCTGTACCGTCTATTTGCATCGATGTAGAATAAGGAGAGCCATCTGATTGTTACCTGTTTAAGTCGATTGTATGGGTGAATCTAAATCGTTCATCGTGATTGATTTCGTTTGTCTGATAGCACCTATGGAAAGAACGAATCTGAGTCGTTTATGTGCGCGAGATCGAACTTGGGCCGTCGAATCATTGGACACGCAGATTGCTCCCGTGGCCTCTCGCATGGCACCGACGTTAGCTTATTTTGCTATGCGGAGTGCTCCGGTTCATCGACGTCGCTGACTAGGCCGTCTTACGTAGCTGAATTTTTTTTTTATATTTTAACCCCCTGTTTCTAATTTTTCTTTCAAAAACATCATCTGAACTCAAATTTTCACTCTTTTTTCCAAAAATTACTTTCAATTACACCCATAACCTAGTTTGCTCAAATAATTTAATAAAATTAAATTAAAAATAATTTTTTTATTATTTTTATAATTACCAAAATTGATCTCAGGGCAAATTTTGAGTCTGAGTATTACAGATATAATTTTAATACCACCGAAACCAACTCAAGTGGCTAATGCCATGAATTCTTCTTGTGTTCGCTCTTTGCCACCTTGGGTCTGAGTCATCATTAGTACATCAAATTTGCAAGTGTTTTTCACTTCAAGAGTAGTCTCTAGCATGATTGGAAGACTGAGTCCATGACAACTACTTTTCCATCATTTGGTATGGCATGGTGACAATTCTTTAATAGCTTCAAGCAATGTTCATCGCTCTAGTCATGAAGAATCCACAGCATTAATATATATACACATACAAATATATATAGTACTCATTAACTTTAAATTTTCAAATAGGTGTCACATAAGTAACTATCACATCCTTAGTTATTACTTAATCAAATTCTTGACAATCAAAATCATGAAAATATTAACTATTGGTATCCTGACCTTCATGAAAATGGCATCTCCTCTGGGAACACTTGAAACATGTCTCCACCAACATGTTCTATACCTGTAGCATATATTGTTTTAATTAATAAGATACTTAATTAATTACCTTGAACTATTTTTCATTAAACTATCTCTATTATAATAATTCAAGACACAAGTGTATGTGACTCTTAAGGTTTATTGGGAGGAAGAAGAAGAAAGAAGAAAAAGGAGAATAGGTATAGTAATTTGGTAACATAATTAGTTTATCCTTAGAGTAATTTACATTCGATATATTTAATTCCGATTAATCATATTTTTATGTATGCATAACTATTTAAAGAAGTCTATTAAGTAATTATGTAAAACCATAAGTTCACCTTAGGCATGACTCATTGCACAAAAATCCTAGCTCTTGGTATGTATAAAGTCCTTAAAAGAAATATATATCATACATTCTCTATAAATAATGATATTGGCTACTGAATATTACAAAGCATTAACTGAGATCGTAATTAAAAATATATATTAGCAACATACTTGGATAGATTGGAGCATGTTGAACAACATGAGGCAGATTAAAGTTAATCCCCTTGATATGAGGGTATTTCGAGATGATGGCACTTAATGCAACTCCTAAGCCCCCTCTAACATCAACTAATTGTTTAAGTTCATCAAAACCCTTATAATGTTGAAGGACTTTGTTTATGATGATGGTGGTATGGTTAATCATTGCAACATTTAAAACTTAATTGAATATAGGGTCAAATCTTGGGTACTCAAAAGCATGCATTCCATGTGCCTTCTCAAATGGAATTCCTCCTTCCGGAAAGGCTT